AAATTTTTAACGGTTAAATTAAAAAAAAAATTTATATTTAAATATCCTTAAAATTTTAAAGGAAAATAACACTTTTGAAAATTAAATAATTTTTATATTTTTATTTTAAAAAAATTAACGGAAAAATGATTTTAGTAAACTTATCATTGAAAAGCAATGACGAAACTGAGAGTTTGTTTTTCTTCAACATTTTATTTTTCACATGGAGCTTGCGCTATATTTTCTAATTTTCTTTTTTCCTCTTTTTTTTTTTTTTTTTATTTATTTAAGTTAAATAATTAAAAATTTAACACAAACAATGCTTATATGCCTTGAGTTTTTTTTTTTTTTTATTATTGTTTTTCATGTTTTTTAATTTAAAAAATTTTTTTTTGGCAGAAAAACTTAAACGACATATTAAACATAAAGTTTTAGTAAAACAAATTTTAATTTTTAAACCCGGATCAGTCAATTTTAGGTTTTTATTAACTTTATTATATATATTTATAATTATTAAATATTAATAATTCCTGTGGCATCAAAAATTTTTTGTCGATCAAATTTAAAATTGTCTGCTGCCATAATTTTTTTTTTTTTAACTTGAGACAATTTACTTTCAAGAATTTATGTTTGTTAATTAATTTTCTTTGATAAAGCAATTTTAACGTATACATTAATTAAAATTTAAAAAAATAATTAGATTTTTAATTACCTTGCATAAAAAAGGAGAATAATCGTGAAATTACAATAATTTTTTTACTTTTTAAAACAATTTATACTTATTTCAAATCGTATTTTGGCGTCATGGAGTACATTTTATGAAAAAATTTTTTTTTCCGTCATGTTGGTACTACGAATATTCGTAATATCAAAACAATTTTACTTATAAGTTTTGGAACTGATTATTATTTATTTTTTAGTTCATTTTTCGTTAATGGCATTAAAAATCACATATAAAAAATTATGGGAAACGTAATTGAGAAATACGTAGTGAGCACGGGTTATTTAGAAATTCTTCGAACCTTTTCGATAAGAAAAAGAAAACTTACTGAAAACGAAAATCCTGATGAATTAGAAGAATCAGTTCATGTTGCTAAAAAGTAACTTTTTATTAATTGACATGATTAATTTCTCATACTTATCAATTAAATGAGTTATAAATTATATTATTAACACGATGCATTTGTTATTTTCTATAATTTTGAGTATTCTTTTCTTTTTTTTTTATAAACATCACTTACAAATATGCTTTATTTATTTCAGGAGAAGGTTAAAGAAAAAATTGTTATCAACACCCCAATATATTTATCAAGTACTATTTGTAGATGGTACTGACAGTGATATCACTCTTATAGCTTTAGGAAAAGAATGGAAATTACATAAAGTTTACTTATGTCAAAGTCCTTATTTTGCCAGTATGTTTTCTGGATCATGGAAAGAAGCCAATGAAAATATTGTGCATATAAAAATAATTGATCCAAAAATCACAGTTGATTGTGAGTTGAAAAAATTTGAAAAAATTTTTTCTAAATAAAAAAATTTTACCCGAGTAACTTATTTTATTTATAACTTTTTAGCTTTATATACTGTATTAGGTTCTCTATACATTAATGAATTAGAATTAGAACCAGATC